CAATATATAAAAATATACAAACTATCAATGAACAATTGGAAAAAGCAAATAAAAGACTATTTTTACACAGCATTGAGAAGCCTTAAATAACTAGCAATGCATTTTACTAGAAATGTATAACACACCTATAATGAAAACTAGAAGAGACAGAAATGAAGAAGACCACAATAAACAGAGAAAAACAATGTTCATAAATTGGTAAACTCAGTGTTGCAAAGATGCCCGTTCTCCATAAATTGATCCAGAGTAACTGAATAGAGTAAATGCGATCCCAGTAAAAACCAGTAGACATTTGGATAAACTGTCAAGCTGATTCTGAAATTTATATGGAAATGTAAATCTTGAAGAAGAAATATAAAAGTGTAAGAGTAACACCACTTGATATCGTAACTTAATGTAAAGCTGCAGTAGTGAAGACAGTGTGGTGTTGATAGAAGGACAGTGAAATAGAGCAGTCAACAGAATAGAGTCCAGAAGTCAACTCACCCTATACAATCAGTTGATTCACGATACAGATGCCAATGCAATCCAATGGGAAAGGGGTTTTACCAGAACAACTGGATATGCGTGGGAAAGAAACAGACAAAATGAACTTTGATGATCATTTCTCACCATCTACATTTAATTTGAGATGAACACAGGAAATGCAAACCTGGGAGTTTACCCATCGGCCCCTGGGAGTCCTTTTTACATGTGTAATACGCCCCTGTTCCCATCCCAGGGCCAACTGCTGACAGCCCCCTCCCAGGATCCACGACCCCCTCCCAGGATCCACAGCCCCGTCTCAGGATCCACAGCCCCCTCTCAGGATCCACCACCCCATCTCAGGATCCACGATCCCCTCCCAGGATCCACGACCCCCACCAGGATCCACGACCCCCACCAGGATCCACAGCCTCCTCTCAGGATCCTGGTCCTTCTGTTCTTCTTGGCAGGTGCCTGCGTTTTATTTTCCTACCCTTCCCCTCTGTGAAGGCTCCCGACTTCTTCCTTTCCTGATCTGACCTTGTTCCACTGCAAATTCTAGGCTACCTCTTCCCCCCAGCCCTCAGATCCTCCCCTGCAGCCTTCCCGCCATTGTTCTCTTTGGAGGCTGCACCAGCTCTTCCCTCTTCCCTGCATAGCGGCAGCAACTTCCTGTGTGTCCCCTGCTCAGCCTGGACCCCCACCCCCGCTGCCTGGTCCCCTCTCAGTTGTCAGTTTTATGTCTTTCATGTACGTCTGATATCATCCCTCTCCTGCTTAAATCCATTTGCAATCCCCCGCAGAGCAACCGAGGGAAAGCCACGCCCCTCATCACAACTCTTTAAAGCCACGCCCCTCGTCCCAGCCCTTTAAGCCACGCCCCTCGTCACAGCCCTTTAAAGCCACACCCCTCGTCATAGCCCTTTAAGGCCATGCCCCTTGTCACTTGTTTCAGCTCCGCTCTGTGTCTTTGTCCGCCTCAGCTTCCTCACTGCCCTCTGGCATCGGGGTTCCTTCTTCTTCATGGCGCCCGGGTTGCCCCTCTGTACCTTACCCTGCCTTGGCTCCGTTTCCCTGGGAGGGTCCTGCCTTCCCTTCAAGGTTCTTCTTAGACTGACCTGACTGTGCTGGAGACGGTCACCCCTTCCTCCGCACCCACACTGCCCCTGGAAGGTGCAGACACCACACTTCCGGGAAGCCTCCCCTGCGTTCTGAGTGGGGACTTGTGACCCTCCTGCTCCTTTAACATTAGGGCCACTGGATGATTTGACGTCTAACTGGGCCCTCGCCAGTAAAGGGGGCACTAAGGCCATGGGCACAGCCATGAACTGGGACCACTGAGGGTGAGCTGGGACAAATGGCAGCTCCTTAAGGCTTCTGTACACCATGTGCACCCTCACCACGCTGTCTTTGCATTGTGCTTGTGTCTGTCTCTTCTCCAGATGTCAAGCTCTCTGGGGACAGGGGTCATAGCATGGTGGGTCCACATCTCAAGCCCTAGGCTGGGTGCCCAGCACGGAGCTGACTTAGTGATGTTTGTGAACCCAAAGAGGAGGGAGAGGGCCTGGAGTACTGGACTCTGCTGTGAGAAAACCTGGGCCCCTCCTCTGATGATCCGTTCAGCTGTCAGGTCAGGGATCAGGACAAGAGTGGCCAGGAAGCTTCCAGAATCCAGGACCAGCCTGGTCTGATTCCACTTAACTGTACCCTATCTTAACCACATCATTTATTCATTTGGCCATATCTCTTTCAATGGTCCGTCCATCCATCCATCCATCCATCCATCCATCCATCCATCCATCCATCCACCCACTTATCCATCCATCCACTTATCCATCCATCCACTTGTCCCTCCATTTGACAAGAACTCATCAAGTCACTTTACCTGCCAGTCCCAGGGAGACAGCAGCAAGTCAGCTGCAGGCTCTGTGCCCTCGTGGAGCTCCCCTTCTAGGGAGACACAGACACTAAAGAGGCAAACTCAGGAGCGAATAAGCAGGGGTGGGAAGCACATGACACAATGGACTGTGCTGGTCAGGGGTGGGGGCTGCTGGACACAGTGGTCACCGTGGGCGCTGACAGGGCAGTGCACACTAGAGGAGCTGAGAATTTGACATCTGCTGCCAGGAAACCCCGGGCATCACAGAACAGGACAGACAGTCACAAGGACAGGTCCCTGAAGGCTGGGCAAGATGGTGCCAGGGGCAGGGACACCAGAAGGCAGCGAGGTGGGTGTGCCAAGGTCAGGGCGGGCGGGACCACACCTGGAGTTCTGCAGAGGCGGGCCAGGCGATGCATCTGGTCTTGAAGGTTTGGGTGGGCCACCCTCTGTGGAGGCCTGGATCCCTGCCATGCGGGCAAGGAGACCTTGCCCTGACGTCTCTCACAGACCTGGGCTCAGAGCAGTCAGGTGACACGCTAGAGGTCACCCAGCCTGAGAAGAGCGGGCAGGACTGGAGTGAAGCTCTGCCCGGGCTGTAGTCCAGCTTTTGCGGCTGCCTGGACCCAGACCAGCCCAAGGCAGCCTTATCCTTCCATGTGGCTGTAGCTTCTCCAGGTCCAGAACGTGACCTGGTTGTCTCTGGGCTTAGCAGTGGGTGCCGGGGCAGAGGCCCCTTGCTCTCCATCTGTCTAGACTGGGCTGTTTGTCATGTGCTCCAGACACCATCAGCAGCCAGACACCTTCCTGTCCTACTGTACACAGATGGATGGCCCCACGGGGGGCCCTGCAGCTATTTCCTGGGCTGGGAGGATGGAACGGATCCTGTAGGTGTCACCTCTGAAACTGTCCCCACCCTTATCCCATTTCCAGGTCTTTCAGGAAGGAGGCCACATGGCTCCTGGGGTCTTGTGTGAAGTGTCACAAGAATGAACAACCCCTCCCATCCTGCCCCTCAAAGCCTGAGCCTCCCCTGGCCAGCAGGGCTCAGGTTTTCCCATCCTCCTGAGCTCCCCAGATGGCCTTTAGACTAACAATGCCCACACTCTCCTCCTCCTGAGCCCCCTAGATGGCCTTTAGAGCAACAAACAGCACCCACACTCCCTGCTGAGCTGCCTGTCCTGAGGGCACGGTCTAGGGAGAACTGGCAGCAGGCAGGGGGCGGGGGACTTGGCGTGGCCAGAACACATTTATCCCGGGGAAGGAAGAAAACCCAGCAAAGGCGCATGCCTCTGGGTTGGGGGACTACATGTAAGCTTTTTTTCTTTCCAGTTTTTAAGGTTCTTCAAGGTTTCCATAAATGAGCAACATATTACTTTTCTAGTGGAAAAAGAACAACTTTATTCAAAGGCAGCTGCAGAATGTCCCACCCGACGCCAATAGCACTCATTGAGTGCCTTCCTTTGGGCAAAAAGAAAATTTCTGCTGGTCTTTATTAAAAAAAAAAATACACAACTGGAGTGCTTTTCATAAAAAATGTCCCCTCTGAGTGGAAAAATATTTCGGCGATTTATCTTTTTAGTATTTTCTACAGAGCTTGAATGTTTTAACAATGACCAGAAAGTATTTTATTTCATGGTCAGAAAACACATCAAATTGTTTGTGCTTTGGAAATTTGGCTTCACCTCCTCTCTCTCTCTCTTTTCCTTCCTTTCTCTCTCTCTTTCTCTCTTTCTCTCTCTCTCTCTCTCTCTCTCTCTCCAAAGCAAACCCTGGGTGCAAAAGCTCCAGACGTCCCAGGGCTGAGGAGGGAGGGTGAAAACAGAGGTGGGAGACTTGAGCAACTCCGCAGAGAGCAGATGGCCCTGGGGACTCAGGAGAGGCCTGGTGGGGACCAGTGTGGGAGGGGATGGGAGCGGACCGAGGGGATGGGAGCGGACCGAGGGGATGGAGGCTCCTGTGTCCGCCGGCCCACGAGGCTGGGTCTGTTCTGTACAGGAACAGCACCACCTGGTGGCTTCTGCTGGTGACATCAGTCATCTGCCCGTCCTGGGGCCTCAGAGAGGGGGACAGAGCCCTGGGTGTGGTCCCCGTTGGCGGAGGGGGGGGGGCAGGACGATGATGGCTGAGCGGGGCGGGGAGTAAGGAGTAGTTCCACCCCAACTCTGTAGTGGGAGAATCAGAGTCTCAGCCAGCAGGTGGCATGGACAGCGCCCACCTAGCCCAGGTGTCCAGAAGCCTGAGTTCCAATCCAGCCACTGTGGGCTGGGGGCTGGCTCTGTTTTACTTCGCAGTTTTCTCCCCTGTGACTGAGGTGCAGCAGGGTGGAGAGGGGCCGGGTGAGGGGATCTGGGCTGGGCCTGGGGGCGTGGTGCCCGTTCTCACCCCTATTCAGGAGGCTTCTCCTTTCTCCCACCTTGCCCGACCTCTCTCCAGCTCCATTTTCCTGCCTCCCTCATCCTCAGCAGGCCTGGCCAGGGGGTGGTCAGGACCAAGTCTCTCCACCTGTGTCCAGCCCTTGGTTGCTCAGGGTAAGAGCTAGGTGGTGGGTGGGGCTCCTCCCGGTCCTGGAAGCGTCTGGGTGCGGGGTGGGCGGGGGTGGGCGAGGGTGGGGGTTGGCACTTCCTGGCAGGCCCTGTGGGTGGGGCAAGCCCACTTATAGGTGGCCCATGGGCAGGGACTGTCCCCTGTCACCCAGCTCGGCACCCTCCCCCAGGGCCCTCCGCAGCACCACCCGCAGTGGCTCCCGCTTCCCGGGCTGCCGGCCCGACGCCAAGTAGATGAGGGGCTTGGAGCTGCTGTTGATGCAGGCCAGCAGCGTGGCCAGCGGTAAAAACATGGGCAGCAGGAAGTTCAGCAGGGGCTGCAGGCTCCAGTAGAGGACCAAGGGCAGGCCACAGAAGAAGAGCAGGAACAGCGCGCCCAGGACGATGCCGTAGAACCTGGGCCGCGGGCGCGTGGAGCAGCAGGTCACCCAGACAAAGAGGACCACGCCAGCCGTGCAGGCCACGCAGGCCAGCACCAGGAGCCAGATGACGCTGGCCACGTGGTAGCGCAGGCAGACCAGGAGGCGCGTGCTGTTGCGCAGCAGGCCACAGGCGTTGGCGGGCAGCAGCACGGCCGGCAGGGTCAGGGGCGGGGAGTAAGGAGTAGTTCCACCCCAACTCTGTAGTGGGAGAATCAGAGTCTCAGCCAGCAGGTGGCATGGACAGCGCCCACCTAGCCCA